CTGTATTTTAGGTCCATTCTTGGGATTGCACCTCGGACGGCTCTGAAATCACAATTCCAAAATCCGAACCCATAACTTTTTTCCACAGATGGCAGGGACGTCGCAGAAGGATATAATCTCAGCAGAGTCTCATCAGAAGCATAGTGTTTCCCTCGTGGCTGAGGGTGAAAGAGCATCAGATGTTGCCAATGGTAACTGGTCCATTGGACCACAAGATGACATATTAGATTAGGGGCCTACCCGACCCACATCTTAGGAAAAACGCATGGCTGTTCTCCGCTGCTGATCTGCATAGATCAGCGGCGGATATCGTCTGCCCGTTTTTCTTATAGAAATGGGGTCCTGGCCGATCTTTGCCTCTGATCTGCGGCGGCCAAGATTGGCCACTTTCTGTACTTGAAAAATCCGGGCCTACAGGACCCGGTTTCGAAATTGCGGGGCAGGGCCCGCCCCCACGAGGCCTTGGGAACACATACGCGCCGACAAAAGAAAAAATTCAGCCCCCAGCGAAAATGCGCTGGGGGCAACCGGGAGGGAACCGGCCCGGGCCACCGGCCGGTCCAACCGGAAGAACAGCGGATGGGGTAGGGGTCCCCGGTCCATCCGGCGACCAGCCCTGTTCGGAAGTGAAAAAAACGAATTCCAGAAATGATTTCGAATTTCAGAAATAATTTCGAAGTGAAAAACGAATTTCAGAAATAATTTTCGAAATTGAAAATCGAAATTTCAGAAAATTTTCGAAGTTGAAAAACGAATTCAGAAATAATTTCGGAAATGAAAACGAATTTCAGAAAGTGAAAAACGAATTTCAAGAAGTGAAAAACGAATTTTAGAAAGGGAAAAACGAATTTCAAGAAGTAAAAAAACGAATTTCAGAAAAAGATTTTCGGAATAACGGGAATTTTTTCATAACGGGATAAAATCGAAAYTTTCAAAAAWAAATTCCGGACTTCCCTGCCGCGAAATTTCGAATTTCCGCAAAAAAAAAAAAAAAATCGAAATATCAGGAAAAAAAAAAATTTCGCGGAATAAATCATGGAAAATCGCAGTATTTTGGATCTTCAGCAACGAAGTTTCGGGTTCCAAGAAAGGAAAAACGAACCTTCACATGTTCCGCTATTGTTGAAAGAAAGAAATTGCGGGAAAACGAATCCAAAACAGCCAAAAAAAATTCGATTTCGGCGGTTGGGTCCAAGTTTCGCGATTTGGGGACTAATAAGTATGACCTAATCAATCAATCAATCAATCAATCAATCAATCAATCCGGGATCAACCAATCGATCCATGATCGATTGATCGATCAATTGTTACTTCACCCAATCGATCTTGGGTGGTCCCCGTGCGCGCGTCAGATCAGGTTCGTCCTGATTCACATCTGCAGCTCCGATACCAAAACTGACGCATGCTCAGGGGAGCAATGCGCAGTATACCAAGGATCCACAATGCGATGAAAAAGACTGAAATGGACAGTGCAAATCAGCGCAGCATCAACAAGCACTGTACATCCCGATACATACAAGATGGCGCAAATGGCACAGCGGAAGACTTCAAAGAGAAGATCTGATCTGACGTGGACTGACCCGACATCCATCACACATCACACATGGGCGAGAGAGGAGGGACCGCAATCATGGAAGGAAGGTCCCTCCTTCGTACACACACATGGGGAGAAACCACGGATGAGAGATGGGGGAGGGACAGACGAAAGAGGGAGGAGGCNGTAGGTCCGATCCATGGTCCAGGTCGCAGGAAAAAGTCCTGTCCCTGGGTTTGGCCTAAAAACGGCCTGCCTGGGTCCCTATCGGACGTCCAGGCTCTCCCTGCTGATACAGCAGGGAGTGTCTGCTACCAGACAACGCGAACCTGGCCTAAAAGGGCCTGGCTACGAATGGAGGAGGCCAAAAACGTGGCCTTGGTCCGAACAGATCGTAGATCTGTTCGGACGAACTGCAAGTCCGRAACGTCACCTGAAACAGACAAAAATAGAACAGACAAACAACAGCACACATAAGTAAAGGAATAAATAAATAAATGACGGCTGCCTCAAATCTGTACCTACGACCTGTCCAATTGCCGTGGGCCTCCAGGTCGCGTGCTTGGAACAGGCGCGCGGCCTAGGGGCCCTGAACAACCTTCGGGCCCAAAAATGGGCCCGTGTGTCAGGCTCAGCATGTAACAAATGGCTCCGCCCGCTGAGCATGATCGTGGGCAGAGCTGAGTGAACTGGGACCCGCTGAGGGGTCAACTCAGGCTCGAAAGTGTAACAAGGTGGGGCCCTACACCGTGCTTTGACCAGGGCCCTTCAGAGGCACCGCCCTCTCCTGCCAGATGCGCCACCAGGAAGAATGTCGAATCTCAAGGTAGAGCGCTCACGACTCCTGAACCAGAAGAGGACACTTAAGTTGAACTCACTTACTCACGGTAAGAAGAGATTGAGATGGGAAGATAAGGTAAGGGAACAACGTACCTGAAGATAGCTGCCCCCAACCACAGATTTCTCACCAATTGAGCCGACGTGCATTTGATGACCGGTCATGGCCTCGGTACCACACAACTCCACAAGTTGTGGCCATTCCACTGAGGGACGATCCCCCTTCTTCCCCAAGTACCCGAAATGAACAAGGTTCGGGTCCACTGAAAAGACTCGAGGAGGGTGTTCTCAACAATGGGTCTCACGTGGTCCCAATATCCCAAGTAGTTTCAATGCAGTCCCCACTGCACCACAACCTCCAAGGATTCTTCCCAACCGACCGCAAGTCCATGCCGACTCAAGTCACTACGTCCGCTCACAATAGTCACACCAACATGCCCGTCCCAATCTCAAAATCAGTCCCACCTGGTCCCAAAATGGGCCCTAGGCGATCCCATGTCACTGTCGCACCACCGAATGGTCGCAGAAAAAAATAAAAAGCTCATGTCGCGGGTCCCAAAAAAAATAATGGCGGCCCTCCGGCAAGTGCCAGCACCTTAAAGGCCATACCACTAATGCCATGCCGCCAAAAGGTTACCGCCGCCGTCCAGAAACACTGTCGTGAAAAAAAACACTCTGATGCGCAATTTCGGCAGCACCGACGCTTGATAACTAAAAAAATCAATATCATCGCACAATCCCAAACGTGCACCAACGTCAGTCCAACCTCTAGACCACGCTGAAATCCGCCATAACAGCCACACACCAAAAGACCCAACGGCGCGACCATCACTCGCCGTGCCTTCAAAACCGGCACCACAACTGTCTAGCAGCACCGCCACCTGCTCACACACCACAACTGGCGCAAAATTATGACAGCACTGCCCCTTAAAAATAATATCGCCAGCATTTTGCAGTGTAATCCGCCGTTGCCGTGCCCCTGATCGAACAACACCTCCCCTTGTCAACACCTATCATTGAAACTCGGCAGCATAGCGACAAAAAGGCTGATGTTACATCTTCGACGCCACACGGGTCCTACCGGACCCGACTTAGGGCTAGAGGGATACATCAGGGCCTAAAGGCCCGACCTTGGGGGATAACAGGCCGAAAGGCCACGACTTGGACCAGATTACGGACCAGGCCCAAACGACATTTCGTTTTGGGCCTGGCGGCGCCGTTTGAGGCTGCCGCTCTCCGGTTGGACCTGAATCGTCGATCTGGACGGTTCAGCCCCAACCAAGGCCTCACAGCATTGAGGCCGGTCCTCTTCGAACCAGGACTTAGTACTGGTCCGGCCTCACTTCGAGGCCATCGACCTACCGGCATTCTACCGGTACAGTATGGTACAGCGCGAAACAGCGCTGGCGCTATGTTTAGCGCAGGAGCGAGGAGCAGTGCAGCGCAGCAGCAGCAGCGGCGACTGAGTGTATCGGCGGCCATAGCCACCTGAGGTATCGGGAGTTGGAGGCTTCTCTCCTCCCTCCCATCGTCAGTCCCCTCTCTCTCTCTCCCCTCCTCGGCTCCCTTCTTCTTTCTTCTCCTCAGATTCCATCTTCTTCTCTTCTTCTTCTTCTTCTTCTTCTTCTTCTTCTTCTTCTTCTTCTTCTTCTTCAGATTGGAGACTTATACTAGTTGGACAGAGATCAGGGTTGGACTTCGGTGGTATGAGACTGTGGTACTTACCGGATTGGAGACTTGGAGATTGTTGGGGTTGATACTTGGCGGCATCACAGTTCGGACACCGGTTACATTTGGACTCTGTATCTCCGCCATTGGTGACTGATTGTCCTCGACATTTTGATCTTGTTGGATGACATTTTGGACTACCATACCGGTGACCTATCGGATTCTATCTCGGTGACCTATCGGTGCTGTCTACCTCCCCCACCTCCTTCGTCTCTCCTCCCACCTTTCATCTGTGTATGTGTGTACGGGATCTGGGCATCGTCTATGCTTGGCCCAGACCCCACCATCTCATGATTGTATGTGTGTGGAGTGATATCTATGTGAGTCAGTCCGTTTATCAGACTTCCGCTGCATATATGCTCATCCTACATTGGTAGATCGTTGGTTCTGCCCATACTCATTGAAGTATGTAACAGTTTTGGTATCGGAGCAGACCATATTACGGATCTGCTCACAAAGGTAAGTCTGATTAGGAATTAGATTGTTCTTCACTCTTCCGAATCAGCTCTGTATTACTATTGAGTTCAAAGTTGCAAAATTTTAATCAGCTCTGTATTACTATTGAGTTCAAAGTTGCAAAATTTTTCTTCTTTTTTTCGGTTTTCTGTTATTTCGGCATTTCCGTTTCAATTCGGTATTCGGACTTATCATTCGGATTTCCGTTTTACTCCGGTAGGCTGTTTATTTGGATCCAACAAATTGATACTAATCCAACATTCTGTTCGATTCGGATTTCTGGTTGGTAATTCGTAATTAGGGTTAAATCAGTTTTCTGTTGATTTCGGCATTCTGATTTCTTTCGGTATTCCGTTTTTATTTCGGCATTCTGATTTTAATCCTGTATTTCGTTTCGAAATCGGCATTTCCGTTTTATTGCAGCATGGGGAATTAGGGTTGCAATTTTTTTTTTTGGCTATCACTCAACTTGGGAAATTCGAACGTTTTGGAACCGTAAATCCGAAAATTCCGCCGAAACGCGGAAAATTAGGGTTGGGCCCGAAATTTTCGCGATTTTTTTTTTCCTTTCCTTGGTTTTGAGAAATTCCGAAAATGGGTTTAGGCCGTTAAAAATCGGATTTTGACGGTGGAAATTCCCGAAAATTCACGTTTTTGAAAATTCGAGTGTTTTTCCCTGACTTTTTCCGAAAATTTTTTGGCAAACTAATCCGAATCTGACCCTCAAAGTTGCAACTTCTGGGTAGTTTACTCATTGACGGTGAACTCTCGGACTAAAGATGATCTCAACGGATACCTAATCTTGATACAATTCAAATTCGTTCATGATCATTATTGCAAATACTGTTTATTGATTATCTTTATTGCAAATATTGATTATTGATTATCTTTATTACAAACATTGTTTTATGGATTATCATTAAGAATTATTATTTCGTTATTTATCATTAATTAAGCTTTATTGATTAAATAATTCGTTAATTTTATTTCTTATTACGAATTTTTGAATTGTTTACGGGAAATTTATTTTTCTGTTTTGATTAGGTGTCTACACTCCATCAGTGGGACAGGGGACTGTATGCGTATTGTTTGATTGTTCTACCCCTGTTCCCACTCTCCCTACCCTCCCCGTACTCTGTGACCACCGGGNTATTGTTTGATTGTTCTACCCCTGTTCCCACTCTCCCTACCCTCCCCGTACTCTGTGACCACCGGGACCCCTCAAGTACCACATCAGTTCACACTGATGTCGATGGAACAAGACTCCGGGGCACTGCCACGACGCAGTGCCAGGCTTGCAGTTCGTACCCGCCCCGTGGTACCTCCAAGACCCAAGCAGCGACTCAGCAAGCGGAAGACTCCAGCAGCATCAAGTACAGCAATAACTGTACCGAGTACCACCGGGGTTCTTCCCGCATGCCCGGTCCAAGGGGCCGGTGAGCCGTTGGCAACTTACCTTCAGCGGGTACAAGCATTTACAGATGCCGTAGCTACCGCAAAGGCACAGGAGGAGGCAGCAGCGGCGGAACGTCAGCGGCTGGCCAATGAGGCGGCGGCCCTAGCTCAGCAGACTGCTGAGGCTGACGCCGTGGTGCGAGACATGCGGAACGCCATTTGCATGGAGTCCTTGACTACGAATGAGAGTCAGTGGACGACAATGCTCCAAGGCATGTTGTTTGTGCCTTCGGAAGCACAGGCGGATCCAACACCGGCGGAGGAAGAAAGGAGCAACCTGGCTAACGTGATGTTGAACATGATGCGAGCGATCATGTGGAACAACACGATGCTAATGGTGCAGATACACGAGGGCCGACAACTGCGACAGATTCAACAGAATGATTCTGCAGTCTTAACAGCTGCTGTTCGCGCTGCCGCCACGCATCAGCAACAACAGCAACAACTGTTGAGCAGCACCACCGCACGCGTCAACAACATCGAGGCTAACGCCTCAGCAGCGCCAGGCTGCACGACAGACGAGACGAAGCAGCTCAATGGGCGCATCGATCATGTCGTCAACCTCATCGGCGACATAGGTGCTTCCAATGGGTCGGACACGATCAGTAGCACGGTGGCCGCCATCAAGACGGACATCGCCAAGCTGCAGACAAGACCGGACACCGCTACGAAGACTTACAAGATGCCGCACTTCGACATCAACAAGTTCGACGACTACAACAAGTCGGATGCCTTGACATGGTGGCAACTTTTCCTCACGGAAGCATCATGCCGCACTGTCCCGGCGGACGACATGATGAAGGCGCTCTACTTGCAACTGATTGGAGGAGCGCAGGCATGGATGAACCATCTGGCGGCTACCAACAAATGCACCATCGCCGAACTCCACACGCACATCACGTGGAAAGAGTTCGAGAAGCTATGGCTCACCCGGTTCATGGTTCGCAACGTCGTGAAGGCAGCCATGAACGAGGTGTACACCTGCTCTCAAGGTAGTATGGCAACTCGAGACTGGACAACTAAGTGGCAGAAGATAGTGACCACGCCAGGCTTCGATTTGAGTTTTACCAATCAACGATCCGAGTTTTTTTCGCGATCGTGCGTAGGACTGCGATCGGCACTCGGCAACGAGTACGAGGCCATTCTGGATCGGGCGAACGTAGTCATCCAAACGGATGACAAGGCCGCAAACGAACGGCAGTCCCAGCCGCATTATGTGGCTAAGCAGGGCTATCAACGTTCGACACATAACAATGCCGTGATTTCTGAAGAGGCAGACGATCTCCACGCTGTAGCAGCATCCTCGAGTGATGGAGGAATTGTAGCAGTGCTCCCGCCGAAGCGTCCCAAGAGAGTTCGGAAGAACAAGGCGACACAAGAGACGACATCGACAGGAACTGGGCAGCAGCCATGGACAACTTACAAGATAACCAAGGATGTCTATGACCTTTGTCAAAAGTACGGATACTGCCTTTGGTGCAACGGCGTCATGCATTTGACCGCACAATGCCCCGAAAAGGGCAAGACACGCGTACCCCGTCCAGCAAACTCGGGAAACTGAGTTACGCAAGGAGAGGGGCGACRTCTCTCCTCACTCCGCCGGAACCGGTTGCCTTACTAGCAATCGATGTCACTACCGGGGAGCATGCGTTAGTCGCTGATTCTCGTGCTACATACGAGGATTATGCCGCACAGCTGGTACCACCACTAGACCAGCCGAGCCACGTGCATTTAGATTGCGTGTGCGCAGCCTGTACACTGTCGGCAAGTGATCCAGTCTGTCCGCCACTGATTTCCGAGGACTCGACGGCGTGGTCAAGACTTGAGGAGCTTGACCCGCTCACGAGAGAGGACTTCGCTTGGATGCCTCTGCCCTCAATCGAAACCTTGCCAAGGCCGCATTGCAACGCCTTGATGGCAAATCTATGCTCCTATTTGCACACTACAGTACCAGCTCCGTTGACAGACGACGGAGTAGCGGTTGTCGATCTCCGCTCCTAAGTACGCCACCCAAAGGTACGCCGGAACTGACGCGCCTTTGCTCTATATCCGCATTCAGATCGGAAAGGCAACCTGTAGTGCCTTGATTGATTGCGGAGCGTCTCGCAACTTTATGAGCCAAGCCTTTATGGCCCGCACAGGTCTTGTCCCGCGCATTCGAAGGAAGACGCAACCTACGCAAGTTACACTCGCGGACGGCCGCACGCAAAAGTCAATTGACCGATGTGTCGACGGCGTTCCGGTGTACTTTGCGCCACTTGTGTGCGAGCTGGTGTCTTTTGACATCCTCGACACCAAGTTCGACATGATTCTAGGCATGTCTTGGTTGCGTAGCGCCGATCATCCGGTGAACTTCCATGACCGAACCGTTCACATCCGTGATCGGAACGGAGTGTTAGTCCCAT